GCCCGGAAGGCGTCCTGGGGGTTGATGAGTAAGCTGAGCCCTGAATGTGAACAGAGCCTGGGGAAGGACCGGGCAGACGACAGAGGTGGCGAACAGCCTCTTGTGGTGGGGACACAAGAAGATGGCGTGTGTGAGGGTCTGGGAGAGCTGTGAGGGGCAGGTGCAGGGAAGAGCTGGGTAAGGGGGCACGGCCAGAGCCTTCCGGGCCACTTGGGTTCTGACAAGGATGGGGTGCTTTGCTTGGGCGCAAGGGGAAGTCACCTTGGAGCTTCTGGTAGGACTGTGTCCCTTGGGAGAAGCTCACCTAGTCTGGGACAGGGTGGGAGATGAGGCGGAGAGAGGGAGGCGAACATGGCCATCCCGGCGCAACAGGAGGAGCCTGTGCACATGGCGCTGTCCTGGGCCGTGGCCGTGTTGATGTCACCTTCCTGGTTGTGATGGTGCCGTGGGTTTTCACAAGATGTCACTACTAGGGGACCCGCACAACACAAGAGTCTCTGTATTTCTTATAAGTGCACGTGAGGCTATAATGATCTCAAAATAGAAAAGTTTTACTAAAGTAAGTCTCCTGGTTTCAGCACAGAGAGCAGATGAGGGAGGAATAAGGGTCAGGGAAGGGAGACCAATTATGAAGCCCTCCCTGTAGTCCAGAGAGCCGCTGTGCCTCCGGCTAGGGAGGTGGGATTGATTTGAGACTATCCGGGAGGTGTCAACAGTGGAGCATGTGCAGGGAGCAAAGAGGAGGAAACACCGGAATGATCCCCAGCTGCCTGCCCCGGGCATGCAGGTGGCTCCTGGCATCTTCTACTGAGACAGGAGACGCAGGCAGAGGGGTGGATTTCACGGTGGTGGTGGCACAGATCAGGAGGCTACCAGAGTGGGGCACTTACATTAAGGTACCAGTGAGCTCTCCAGGGAGGGATCCTGTGTGGGCATTTGGAAATGCAAACACCTAAAAAACGAGGGTGACTTTAGTACTGCATGAACTAAACTTTTTCCTGGAGTCTGGGTTTTCTTCAACTCAAGCCGCAAACAACAGCAAAACTCTATGGCCTTTCCCTTAGTAATCCACATGTCTTTACCCATGAACATTTGACTTTATTTTTGACAAGTTCACTTAAAATTTGTATTGCTTTTTTTTCCTTTGGTTTTTTGAGAAAGGGACTCACTGTGTAGTTGAGACTGACCTGGAACTCACTATGTAGCCCAGGCTGGTCTCGAACTCACAGTGATCCTCCTGCCTCAGCCTCCCGAGTGCTGGGATTAGAGGCATGTGCCACTATGCCCGGCTGTATTTCATTGTTTTAGTTAATAGGTGGATGCCCGCTCAGTGTTAATAAGTGGATAAAATTCACACTAACATATACAGAACTAAAAGTGAAAATTTCTGCCCCATTTTACTGCCTTCCCTCTAGGAAACTAGGAAAGTAAGAACAAATGTCCCTCGCCTCTGCACATCACACTTCCCTTCTCTGTGGACTTCTCTTCCTGAAGGGGAGAAAGTCCAGATCTGACGGTGTGTGCCTGGCACTGGTAGCGCCAGCTCTAACCAGTGGAACTGGTGCTTTGTTTCCCACGTCACAGGGCCTGTTCCTGCTTTTGGGGCAGACCTGACCTTCTCCTGAGCTCTCTGTCCCACCTGCAGCTGCTGTGGGAAGTGAACCTGCACTCTTCAGGCCCATTGTCCTGGGAGCTGTCATTTCAACCCCGTTGTCGTCCTCTGCAGTGGGGTCAGAGTATAGTTGTCCCCAGCAAGAGGGCTGCAGGCAGGAGACTTCGCTTCCGCCACTGACCAACAGGCCCTTGTCTAATCTCTAATCCACCTCCTACCTGACAGCGAAAATCTGCCCAAACTTTATTATTAAGAAAGAGGCACAGATGAACATATTGGAGAGAGATTCAAACGTTGACATGTAAAGAGAAATACTGTACGCAGCATACACATTACCCTAAGCAGTGCTGCCCCTGGAGGGGTGTGCCCTATTGGAAATGGCTTTCAGAACGCTTCCCTTCCTAGTGTGGAAGACAGAATCACTGAGGAAGCAGCTGACTTTCATTTGGAAGCCACACTGCACAACCCAAGCCCTTGTGTCTTCAGATCCGAGAATCACACTCGGCATCATGAGATGTGCACTCCCAAGAGGCCCTGGGGGCTGCCACCGGCTGGTGAGCAGCGCACGTCTTCCTCAGGTGCACTCAGGGCTGCAGGACACCTGCATGGCTAGCTGCGGTTACTACTCTCTCCCTGATTTTCTTTTCAAACGCTCACAGTTGTTTTTACATAAAATACGTGAGCATACAATCTAAGTCCTTGGTGTTCTCTTTTCCATTTAACTAACAATCCTTGACACCTGCCCCACTGCTTAAAATTCAGAATGAGAGGATGGATGGGCGCCCCTGAGCCCTGTGTTCATTTGGGATCTACTCTTCTGGATTGTTCTCTCTGTGTCTGTGTGCACACATACGTGGCTTTTTACATAAATGGGAGCACAGTGAACATATCCTTCTGCAACTTACTATTATTTTTGTTTTCCCGTCTTTTTTATGGGTACATGTTGGTCATAAAGATTAATGGGTCTCATTTTGGCAGAGGCACGCACGCACACAGCGTGCTGTTATCATTCCCCTCCCCACTTCACCCACTTTTGCCTGCCTCTGTGACCTAGTATTTCACTGAATAACAAAATTTTTGCAATCCACCACAATACATCAATAAATAGGGATGAACTATATTCTTTGAAACTGTTCCATAGTATTTTATATTATTTGTAACCATCTGCCATTGTTGAGCTTTTCTTTAGGCATGTCTAGTTTTTCCTCTTATAAACATATCTGTAATAAACATCCTATTGTTCATGCATCTTATCTTGAATGATTTATCTGTAGCAGATAAATTAATCTTCTCCAAATATATATTTGTGAATATATGTGAAAGATAATTTAATAAATATGAAATTATTAGACCAAAGATTATGTATATTTGAAATTTTAACAGCTACCGCCGAATTGCTCTCCAAAAATGTTTGATAATTATCACTCCTGCCACACGGTATATGCTTAAATACTGTATATCATCAATCTTTTCAATTTTTGCCAATGTAATGGATAAAAAAGAATATCCCATTTTATTTTTTATATTAGAGAGACTGAAACTGTTTTCAAATATTTATTGGTAATATTTATTTTTTCCCTTTGGGAAAATTTTGTTTATAGCTAGAAACTTTTCCATCAAGTTGTAAGTATGTTTCTGACAAATTTTTTTTTGGAGCTCTTTTATGATAAACACTCACCTTTTCTTGTAAATACTCTTTCTACTTTGATAACTTTTATTTGTATCTGGTGTCTTTACAGATTTTTTAAAAGATGGTTTTTGGGGGGAAGAGAGTGAGGACAATTAGATCAATTGGCCATTAAGACTAAGAGCTCTAGTTTTGTGTCACTGTCAAAGGTAGTATTTTCGCAGATGGCAGTCAAGAAAAATCATCCCTTAAATAGTTACGGTTCTCTGAGAAGTGCTGGTCCCTGCATGATAAATATCTTTGAACTGGATGATTCAAAATAGTCTCAAAACCATATGATGATTTTGTTTAAGTCATATTTACATAGGCCCTTTCTGCCTCAAAATTATACTTTTAGGAATTCCTCTAGTTTCTAATACCTTTAGTTTTTAGGTTTATTTCTGGAATTTTTATGAATTTATGATGCAAGATAGGGCTCTGGCTTTATAATTTTCCCAGCTGTTTCAGTACCAAGTACTTTTTCCACTGGTTTGAAATAACACTTTATATTAAATTTCTTTTTATGTACACACACGTCTGTTTCAGGATCTTACTCTTCTCCATCGATCTACTTGTGCATTTCAGCTCTGCCTAAATCACACTTCAGTCAGCACTGCTTGAGAGTATTCTCGGATTTGGTAGGAATCTCTACCACCACCCACGGTCACTACCGATTCTATGACCCATAGGAATTTTTTTTAAGCTATTGCTAAGCTTGTTTTCCTTCTATACAAAATTTATAAAGGATTCAAATCTCATTTTGAAAAATGTATTGCTTAGATGAGTTTGCAATGAAAATGTATAGAATGATTTGGGTGAGAGACACTGACAACCTTGAGGCTTCCAGTCCAGGGACACAAAATGTGTTCTCATGTAGCCAACTCTTCTTTTACATTTGTGTGAAGAGATTTGCGGTTTTCTTAATCAGGCTTTGTCTATTTCTTGTTAGGTTTGTTCTTAGGTCATGTAATTTTTTTGGTATTTTCCCCATTATAGTGTATGGCTGACTCTAGATATAAGACCAACGACTGATTGTAACATCACTCGCAGCTCATCCTGCAGTCAGGCGCTTTACTCAATTCCTTATCAGTCCTAATACTATTCAGTTGATTCCTTAGCATCTCATATCAGAGAAACATTACCAGCTGAAAAATCACATTTTCACATATGCTCTTTAGCAGTGATATTTTCTGTTTGTTCCCCCAGTCCCATTCCATTGTCTAGAGTTACCAGCGCAAGGTGGTGACTACCTTAGCATGACCAACATTAACACTCGTTACAAACTTTAAAGAGAATATTTCTAAAATTTAATTCAACGTTTGCTCTTAATTTTTCAGAGTCAAAGGCTTCATTAAGCTAAGGAGTTTTCTTTTTCTTTTTGGTACCGGGGATTGAACTCAGGACTTTCCGCTTGTGAGGCAGGTGGCGGAATCACTGAGCTAATCCCGGCCCAGGAGTTTTCTTTTTATTGTCTAGCTAGCTTAATCAACTTATTTTCAATTTATTAAAATGAATTATAACTCAATTCTTTAAATAAAAAGTGACCTTTTTTGGTCATGTAAAGCTTTAATGACCCTAATCTATATGATGAAGGCAGAATAACTACGTCAGAGTCAAACGTCTCTATTGGAACTAGTATATGTTAAAAATTTAGGAGTAGAAATATTTTTGGAGCACATCAAAGCAAATCCCAGATTGTTAATTTAACATGGATTCCCTCACCTTGAAATCATCAGGAATAAGGAGTTTTGATGTTCGTAGAAAATTCAAGATATATCTGAACATCTGTCCATCTCTGTCAATGAAATAGTGCTGTTTGAGGCTGTCCAAAACAATGGGCTCTGTACCATCAAAAAGTCTTCCGATCCTGTGGTAGAAAAAAGGGAAGAGTGAAGACAATTAGATCAATTGGCCATTAAGGCTAAGAGCTCTAGTTTTGTGTCACTGTCAAAGGTAGTATTTTTGCAGATGGCAGTCAAGAAAAATCATCCCTTAAATAGTTACGGTTCTCTGAGAAGTGCTGGTCCCTGCATGATAAATATCTTCGAACTGGATGATTCAAAATAGTCTCAGGTTTTTTTCAAAAACCTTCTTTTATTCATGGTCTTTCACTTGCAAAGAAAATGTTCCTGACATGATCATCATGGCAAAGTGCTGTCACTGTAATGGAAGATCTTGTCTTTTCCTCTGTGCTGCTTAAGACAGCCTTCTCTGTTACTTCAAAAATGTTACTGCTCCACAGAGTCTTCTAAACAGATTCGATTTAAAAAGCAATTCTGTTTTTTAAAAAACTATTTTCTGAGTTTTACCCACTCATGAATGAATCCCAAACATCTAAAAATAAGGTAACGCTAATATGCTAACATTCATATTACACAAAATAAAATATCACTCATATGTTTTCCATTAGCAATATACAGTCCAGTTTCTTAGGTCTTAGCAAAAAGAATTTTATTTATTTATTTATTATTTATTGGTATCAGGGATCGAACTCAGGACCTTGTGCTTGTGAGGCAGGTAGTGGAACCACTGAGCTAAATCCTGGGCCTAGAAAAAAGAATTATTAAAAGCCAAGCATCATCATTAAGAAAAAAAATCTGACCACCCCCAAAATGTGGCCTAGTTCTGGAATTCAAGTTGACTATGGGTAAATTTTTTAAAAAGAGGGATCCTCAATATGTGTTTTCTCATTTTCGGAGTTAACATTTGTATAATGCGACACAGTTAAAGTATTTTTTATCCATCATTCGCCACTAAGGAAGGCTGAACCTACATGCTTCATTATATAGGCAGTTATAGGAAGTGGTCATGTCTATTCTACAAACAAGCAGCAGGCTAGTTAATGGCACACGTATCTGAAAATGGAATTTACACCCCAGAAAATCACTTCCTTTACCAAAAGTCTCGTTTTAATTTTCATTGACAGTGTAAGCAGGCAAATGGCTTTGTGGGGTAATGGGCATTGAACCCAGGAGTACTGGACCATGGCACTACATCCTCACACCCTTTTTGTTTTCTTTTGTTTTTTAAAGACAGGGTCTTGCTACAATTGCCCATGCTGGCCTTGAACTCATGATCTTCCTCTTCCCTCCTCCTGAGTAACTAGGATTATAGGCACGTGACACAGTGTCCAGGAAAAATGGCTCCATTTTCTAATAAAAAGCTTTTGCTGGTCTCATAACAAGTCCATCTCTGATTTGAAATGCTACTTTACTGCTTTAAAAATTGTTTTGAAATCATGGGTTTTTAGTATTATATTGAAATGGTACAGTGGTTAACTTAAGTCAATAATTTTACCCCTCTGAAAATATGACAAATAGGTAGGAAAGCTGCTTTCAAAAAAGAAAGTCATATGAATTTTTCTTTCAATAAAAAATCTTTTAAAGATGATTTAAAAACTCATTTCCCATATGAAGGTAGCATGAGCAAAGAAGAAAGCAATGGTAGGGTTCTTTTTCTAAATCTCAATACACTTTTCTGAGCTAGTGTTTTCATCCAACTTTCCATGAACTGGATGTGATTATCCAGGGTGTGTATTACAGTCATCCTGGGAGTCTTCACTGCAAGCTACCTAGTCATTCATTTCTCACTGACACATCGGTCACACGGGTGGTAGGCTAGGAACCTGTATATACTTAGTTACTTACCTGTAGTGTTTCCAGGACAATCTGATTAGGATAGGAAAGAATGAGACTTGTTTGCCTCTTATAAAAACATCTCATTCTTCGGTTAATAACATGATAAATTTACAGTTGACAGGAATAAAGGGCCGGTATATTAATTGCTTTCCAGATGACTATACTATGCTCAGCACTTATACATGAAACAAACCTATTAGCCTCATTTTAAAGATGAAGAAATAGACTCGAAAAGGGGAATAACTTGTCCAACTAGTTAAGCAGCACTGGTCTCAAAGAAGCTTCCTACACTGATAGGAATGAAAAGAAGTACCACTAGCCAAGGAAAGCTTTTGATCTAGTTTTTGTTTCTGCCTATATTTGTTGAGCAAGAACTTTACAGTGAAGTTCAAGCCCCTATACAGATTATTTTAGGTGCCTGGAATAAATCAGTATGACCTTAAGTTGCTTTAGTAAAAGAATAGAGATGAAAAGTATTTTATTCTTAAATAGTCCTTATGCTTTCCAGTCTTAGATGCACGTTCATTTTCAAATGTAGACTTGAATATACCCAGAGACTGTATGACTGATTTAATAAATCTATACTGAGTGAATGGGTAAAAGAATTAGGAATGAAGAGTGTGGAACGGGACTGAGGCCTGGCCAGTTACTAGCTATAACTGGAATGAATCGACTTCCATGTGTACCATTTCTTCCACAAAATTGTCTCACTTTGTTTTGTAAAACAAGCCCTTTCTCAGGGCTCTGAGCTCAGAAAGTATCCATCAGGAGAAGATATTCCAAGCCAGACAACAGAAATTTCTATGAAAGCAGCTCTTGTAAGACTGCAGGCGCTTAGGAACAGGATTTAAGAGAGAGAAGAACAACCTTGGCAGAATATATTGTTACAGGCCTTTACTAAAATGGAGGCGTGTCACTGAAATGGTTTTTAGGATGGAAAAACCAAAACAAAGAATGACCTCTGGCAGATACAAAAAATTGGGCGTGGATGCAATCAAAGGCATCTTCACTTAGAGAAGGGAAGAGGAGGGGGAGAAGAGGGGAAGGGAAAAAAAAAAGATGTAAAGAACAGGAGGGAAATCTGAACGGAGACTGAGCAACAGAACAGCCCGCTCATCCTGCAGCCCTAGAAGTAAGTAGCTGCCATATCTGAAGGCAATGGCTGGAGGAAGTGGGATACTCAAGGGCAATCGACTGAGAACAAACAGGAAGGAATGAGCTTCACTAGCAGACAGAAACCTCGCTAAGACTACCGGGGACAAGAGCAAGACCCAGGCCCTGCTGCAGGTTCCCCGCCCCAATGAAGCATGCGCAGTCGCCAAGCCCCCCAACGAGTGCATACCAGGGATAGGCTGTGCAGCCGGAACCTTTGCAATGACCTCCAGCCAGGCGGGCCAGAAGCGCTCCGGAGGGACCAGGAAGAGGGCAGGGCTCCACCCAGAGGAAGGGCTCTGGTGAGAGGAGGAAGTGAAGGCTGTGGGTCCAGGGTGGGGAAGGTGGCCGGAAAACGCGCACCACTTTAGGCCAGAAAAGGCTCCGTGCACTGTGGGAGCTTGGTGGGGAAGGACTGTGGTGAAAACTGGGAGAGAACTGGAAAGGGACACTTGGGCCACGAATGCTCATTCCAGACCGAGGTGGAAGGCCTCTCAGAGAAGAAAAAGTTGAAGCAACAGATGTTAGAAATAATAAAAGGAACCCTAGAGTTGCCGACTTCTGCCAGCTTTAAAAGGAGGGACGTTTAGGGTTGTGGAAATGCAGAAGGGGAGGGAAGGCAGTGCCTTCATCATAAAATGGTGTCCTTGGGTGGTTTTTTTAAGACCAGGCCGATGGTGCAGTGGAAAAAGTATTGTCTGGCTAAGCAAATAATGGAGAAATCACAAGGCTGTATTTCTTGTGGACATGTGAATGGAGTTACAAATCAAACTGCAGTGATGTGTAAACTCTGGTGCTTGAAAACTGTGTGGAACTGATTACAGTTTACTAACCTTGGAGAACATTCCTGTTTTCCAACTGACCGAGACCAAGCTGGCTCCAGACAACGTATGGCTGGGCTTTTCTTGTTGTTTTTACACTCACCGAAACAAGTGGCAATGCTGAGAAAGACTTCCTTCCGCATTTTTTTTAAAAAGATTGATCATTACCATGGTAATTACTTTAGAAAAACATTTTATTTGGGGGAATTTCAAACTTACAACAAAGCAGAAAAAGTAAGAATGAACCCCTAAATGACCATCAGCCAGTTTCAGAACATATCAACTCTTGGCCAATCTTATTTCGTACCTAGCTGGATACCTTCTGTCCAGCTAATAAATTTGAAGTAAATGTCATACATCACATTTTATCTGTAAATATTTCATTAACTAATAGGACTATAAATTTTCAATAAAATATGCATTAGCACATTCTACTTTGTTGCTCTGTAATCTGATGATCACTCTTGTTTATGGAGCCAATAGGGGAGGGCCCAGTTTCAGCAGAAATGAAGCTCCTCTAGGAGAGCAGCGGCTCTGGCTTCCTGCCTTGGCTCCCCCTCTTGGCACAGTTTGGCGCACACAGCACTTTTACAGAACTACCTCAAGCAGAAGAGAGCACAGGGCTAGGAGCTGATTTGCCTGGCTCAGTATGAGTCATTTAAGATTTTTTTCTTGTATATCCATTCATTTATAGGGCTTGGTTTCTCTAATTTACTGTGATTCAGTTCCTTAAGAATTTCTCTTCCCTCTTTCTTGTGTAATTATTCAGTTATGCCTTTATTCTTTCCATCAATACTTGCTGAGACTGACCACAGCAGGGATGGGGTGAGGTCAATAAACCCGAGTCCTTGCTTCTGTGGAATTTAGCAGTCCGTGGGGCTGGAAGCACAGGTCCAGTGCAGTGTGATCAAGTGAGTCACTCAGTGTATGTGTAGAACAGACCACAGGAATACACAGTCATCACGCTCAACTGCGGGTTGGCAAGGAAGAAAGAGAAAGCGCACTGTTGACCTGAAGGCCGAGTGTAGTGGTGGGAGGTAAGGTTAGGTAAGGAAGAGGGATGGGGAAGATGCACAGGCTGGCGGCCCGAAATATCCTGCCATGTGGTTACGTACTCACTGATGTGTAGAGTCTGGCTGACTGAAAAATAAGGCTGGAACAGCAGACACCACATGTCCAAGAGCCCTACAAGTCAGGAGAAGGAGTTTGTAGTCGGTCTTGAGTGTGATGGGGATTGATGTTAGGCTATGCTCTCA